ATTAGATTTGCTTGAATTCCAGTTCTATTAAGAAATGGTACATGTGTTCAGTAATGCAAACAATGCTGCCAGATCCCCACTGCTGCCAGATCCCCACTACTTCCACCACTTAATAATTATATGTGTGAATAAATGTTTTCACATGATATTTATTTGTTTCCCATCTCCTGAAGCTTATTCTTTTAGCTTCTTTAAATTTTCAGTGATTCTACCTCCTCACCTGCTTAACATCTTCAGCGTTTAGACTTGAAATTTAGGATACATATCTGGAATTTTCACAATTATCTTTTATAACAATAAAAGAAAATGGGGTAGAGAATATCGTTCAATGGTTGAGCATTTGCCCAGAATGTTTAGAGCTGTGGGTGCAATTTCCAAAACCCTTAGAAAAATAATAAGCATTTATTTAATCTCTTGAAGGCAATTTCATTTTGTCCTCATAGAACACACATCAAGAGTACAACAGCTCCAAAAGTATGAAAACTCTGAGTCTAAGAGAAATCAAGCAACTTGAACACAACTTGCAAGACAAACTTGGCTGCAGTTCTACCTCTGTGTTAGTTGGTAGATGCTATAGCTCATTTCAGATCCTAATTGGAAATTACCTTTCCGCAAATCAAAGAAATCAGCAACAGAGCAAAAAGACAACCCACAGAGTGGGAAAAAATTTTAGCCAACAGTCCCTCAAACAAAGTGCTTATATCTAGAATATATACAGAATTGAAAAAAAATCTGACACCCCAAATTCAAAACTAATTCCAAAAATGGGCATCTGAGATGAATACACACTTCTCAGATGAAAAAATACAGATAGCAAATACATATATGAAAAAATGTTTAACATCACTGGTCATTTGAGAGATGGAAATTAAAACAACACTGAGATTCCATCTCATCCCAGAGAATAGCTGCCATCAATAAATCAACCAATAACAAATGCTGGAGGAGCTGTGGGAAGAAAGGAACACTTTTCTACTGTTGGTGGGAGTATAGACTGGTGCAACACTGTGGAAATCAGTGTGAAGATTCCTTAAAAATCTACTATTAGAGGTCCCATTCGACCCAGCTATTCCCCTTGTGGGCATTTTCCCAGAAGAATTAAAAACATTACACCTCAGTGATATATGTGCACCCATGTTTATAGCAGCTTAACTTGTAATAGCTAAATGTTGGAAACAACCCAAATGCCCCTCTAAGGAGAAATGGATAAAAAGATATGGTATTTTTATACAATGGTATACTATTCAGCTATAAAGAAGGATAAAATTGAGACTTTTTTAGGTAAGTAGATGCAAGTTTAGACCATTACTCATAAGTGAAATAAATCAGCCTCACATGTGTAAACATTATATTTTCTCCCTAGTGTAAGAAACTGAAAGAGTAAATAAGAGCCAAACTGTACAGTAAATATTGGGAAATGGGAAGAAACTGTTCAAAAGGACAGAGAAGCTGGATGGAGGAAAGGAGAAAAGAAAGGAAAAGGAAATACATACACACACACACACACACACACACACACGAGAGTTAAGACAGCTATCCTACTAACTTTTATTAGTGCGTTGAAAAGAAAAGTTTGTACTTATTTCATTTGATCAATTTTTCATGCCTATATCTTGTAGTCTAGGAAATTGCTTTGAAGATAACAATAAACATTGTACTGACTGTGGTTATTTTTTTACTATCTTGTTTGAAATTTTGTATTATTGCTTTTAGTGTTTTTTCTCTTAAAGATAAAAAAAGAAAATTGCCTTTCTACCTTTCAGTCATGGCCTGTGGAACACTATAAAGCAGGCTCCTCCACATGTACAGTGGACTAGGAGATTATATAAGCATAAGATTTTATGCCTCTAAACGCTCCTAGTAATTGTCTCCTCCAGTCTTTTGCTTTGTAAACTATAAACCTGCAGTTAGAGATCCAAAGAAGAGAATAAGAGACATTTTTTTCAAGTTGTGTAACTTCTTTTAACACTTCCTCCAGGCTGAGAACCTCCCATGTGTAGATTAGGGGCTTCCAGTTATGACACTACATCAGCATTACCTATGGAGATTTTAAAAGTGTTTACCTCTTGGGCCCCTATATCAAACCAATTGAATTTGATTTCTAAGATAGGGCTGAGAAAACTACAGTTAAAAACAAACAAACCAACAAAACCAACAATGTTCTTTATATTATTCTATTGTGTGTCCATACTTAAGAACTACTGCTCCCACCCACACACACCTTGCTAGAATGCAAAAAACTGAAAACCTGCTTGAAATTACAAGATTCATTGAGGAGTCCAGGATCATGCATAAAATAGTTAGCCATAAAGATTGCCTTGGTTACTGAAGAAGAAGCATACTTTACTGATATATTTAGAAAGGTTCCAGATGAACTAAAGAAACGCAATGCCTTAAACCTGAGTGTAGAACACTTTGCATTTAATAGGTGGCCTACAGACATCAGAACCCTATGGCTCAGTTTTTAAATATAAAATTTAAATCCTATCTATCTCAGACCCAGAGAATTGGAAGCATATATTATTGAAAATCTTTCATGAGATTCTTAAGCAGCTAATCTAGGAAGTCCCCAAGAAGTATGTGCATTTGAAAGCCACTGGCTTATGATAGAATTGTTTGCCAGATATAGTAATATATTTTCAGAAATATATTGAGTATTTTTTAAAAACTTGTATGAAGAGATTCCAATTGCCTGGAGCTGACTCAGGAATCAGTACTGTTAGTGGCAACTCTGTTGATTCTAGGTCTGTTGAATCAGAAACCATTCTTTCAGTAACACTGACAAATGATGACTGACATGAGAAAGGATGTTTTTAAAGCAAAATATTTTCATTGTAAATACAATGTGTCAACAGATATTTATCATGAGTTAAAAAACTTTCTGGGTGCATTTAGTCAGCTTATTCAAATTTTACTATATTATTGTCACTGAAAATTGCATCAAGGACTTCTGCTGAATTTCTGAATCATTAAGTGTTCTTAGATTCCTGTGATAAGAATTTGGATATACAACAAATCAAAAATATTTTTAAAAAATAATAAAAAATATTTTAAAATAATGCTCAATATATGGTTGTTTTTCTGCAATCAATTAAGTTCTGAGTAATGAGTTACAAAAGACGGTGGTAGACAGTTAAGGGGAGGGAGAAGTAAAAGAAGAAGGGTTAGTTAACTGAGCATTTGTTATAGTTTAAGCTCCAGTAAGGAGCAAAAATCATATTCTTTTCATATACTAGTTTAAATAATCAGTCTCTATGGAAAAATAAGAGGAAAATCTGTCTGGAATATTTACTTTCAAAAATTATTTTGAAATGGCTGTTGATATTTCATTTTCCAATACATCCATTTATTAATTAAAGAGCAGAAGTGCTAGAAGGAACCTTACTAAAAAGGCCCAGAAAGGTGAAGTGGCCTTTCCACAAATACAATTTGTTGAGCTAAAAACTCAGAGTAGCATTCTTCATACTTCTAGGTTATATCTCACTTTAGGTTGTTCAAACTTTTTGTAAAATACTTCTGAGTATGGATAATATAATATAGATTATGGAGAGAGAAAATAGTTTGGTAGTAGTGGAGCTTTTCCACTTGCAAAATTCTACAAAAATGTCCACATGACACACATATAGAAAAGCAAAACCTGTTTTTCATTGCTGTTTGCAACACAATAGCATGAAGTTAGGGAGTTAAAGGGGAAATAAACTATATTTCTCTTCGTGCATAGTTTGGTAATAAATATCTCCCATTCACAGTGCTTGCAGTTTATATTCTCCTTAAATATTACATTCATTTCTATTAGAAATTGTATGGTATTAATATTTAAATATAATGTTAACAATGTTTAAATCCTGTTCAATATTTCTTGCAGTGTTATTTCTCTTGGGGGTGGTGCTGTTAGAATGGAATAGGTAGGAAAAGCTTATAACGGCTTTCATTTGCCAGGCAGCAAACTGATGAATAAAATAAATGTAAAACATCACTTCAATTAGTACCAAGGAGCTGATATGGTCACTACATTAATAATATTTTACATGATTACTAGCAACATTCATTTATTTATACAAGTATGTCTGAGATTCTGTCTTGCATGAGACACTGCTTATCCTGCAGATTCTGAAGTCTGTTATATTTAACAACTTGGTTATAATTTAAGAAGTTCCCCAAAGGGCTGGGGATTTAGCTCAGTGGCAGAGCATCTGCCTGGCAAGCACAAGGTCATGAGTTCAATTCCCAGTACCAGAAAAAAAAATCAAATGAAAAAAGAAGTTCCCCTAAATGAGACCAGAGTTGAAGGAACTCAAACATATGATTGAACATAGTTATAATGTAAGGACCTAAAGATTTTTAAAGAAATATTGTTTTATACAAAAACAATTTCTAGGTAATTATCCCAAGACTTATGGAAACCAGTTTGAAAGCAGGAAAAAATAGCAGTAGCACAGTTCCTATTTTTTTCATATTTAACCTCCAGTTGAAGACAAGAATAGGAAGCTTTAGCAAATAATTCCAAAATATTTTGTAGGCTTACATTTCAAATACTCTGAGATTTCTAAGAGTTCACATTTTTTTTTTTTTTTTTTTTACTTTCTTAAGGAGTAAAGAGTTTTATAGTAAACGTGAAGATTGTCAGGAGTTGACAGGAGTTTTATAGTAAATATGAAATTTTTAAGCTGGTATTGGAGGCCAGGGATATAGCTCAGCTGCCCGGTGACTGCCTGGCAAGCATAAGGTCATGAGTATGATTCCCGGTACAAAAAAAAGCTGATATTGGTTCTCACTAAGATAATTTTAAAAGTTTCTACCTCTCATTTTCAAATTTATGACTGTCATAAAATATATGATTGTTATAGTTTTTCTACTCCAGAGAGTAATACTCCTAGATAGTGATAATTCCATATGTATTCTTATCAGTAAGGCCTATAATAATTAGTGTATATTTTTATTAAGGCCTATCATAGTTGGTATTTAAATATTAAGATCAGAATATTTTTAATATTTTGAAATAAAATATTTTAAGTGGTCTATTTTCTTTTTATTTCCACAATTTATTCACAGGCAAAATTATTCTTTTTTTATAATCAATAGCAAGCCAGTTTTATTGAATTAATATGACTTTCTTATGAAAAATCCTCACAAAGCATTGTAATCCCCAGGGTTTATTAAAGGACTGGTAGAGAACCATATACTTAATGGTTTTATTTCACTTAAATACAGTGAAAACTCATTTTCTTCTAATAAAACTCAACTCTTAAAATCTTTAAACCAAAAAGAATGCTAACAAATTTGATTATTTATTGAATATTTTCAAATTTGAAGTTCTTCTACAGAATGTACCATTCTAAAGATCCTAGATAATGCCAATAAGACATTCACATTTATAGAAATTCAGAAATACTTCTTTTATGAGTTGGGAATGATGGAGAGATAGGAGCCTTACATTCTGATCTTAACTACTGTAACTATATTTAGATGTCTGTATGCATATGTGTGAATATATGTCTTAAATAAATGTCATCTCTGGACCTTGTTAACTCAGTAGAAAAAATTGATTTATAAACCTGATATATTTCTTCTAGCCCTAAAACTCAAGATTAATAGAGATAGAACTGAATGATTCAGTTGACATACTGGTTTGGTATTTACAATTTGAAAGTATATTATTCTTGGATGGGTAATGGGTTTCAACACAGAGATGTACCAGTTATGCCCTTATATACTTGGCTTGGGTCATATTATCAGCATATAATTATACTTGCAATCCAAGAAAGAGCTCAAATTAATAGTCAATAATAGAGGTAATCCTCATGGCTTTCAGTAATTTGAAATAATCATTGTTCACTTCAGTAAAAGTAGAGCAAAATACTTTTCAGCTTTCAGAGAAAGGAAGTACCTTCTTAATTTGTTAGCAATGCATATTATTTAGATCCTAACTTTTTGATTAAAAATGACAAATAAACATAAATTATGAGTTTGACTACTATGACAATAAAGTAAATGTGAGTGAGATCTTTATTCATCTATGAGGTCATCCATGAAGACATTTTATTCCTTGATGGACAAAGGAAATGAAGTGTGGGTAGAAGAGGCAATACAGAGCTAATCTATGTTGGATCAAAAGAGTAGATGAAGTTTGCAGCTCAGAAGCATGTCAAGGAGCTGAACAATTGGGGAAATTTGCTACCTTTTACTTCATTAAATGAACAGTAACTCTATGGCAGGTAATATGTACATAAACACAGATTTAGGCTGAAGGGAAACTTTCCTATGTCTTTCTACTGCTTGTAAACTCCTTTAAGGCAGTGATAGCACCTTTCATTCTTCATCTTTGTTAGGGAACTGACGGACACAGCCTTCTTGTAATTATGCCAAGGAAATGAACGTGAGGATCAAACAATCCTCTATTCAGTTCAGGAATTTTCTTTTGTTCAAATCCTTCCAGTGCTAGGAAAACTTATTCTCCCACAACTCAGTCTTGATTGTTAGAGATACTTCCTTCCTACTGAACTGAAATTTATCTCTCTACATTTGATCAAGTGTAGAAGATTGTGTCTCAGTTAAACTGATGTCAATATATAATAGGATTATTAAAATAAGCACAAACTAGAGCCAAGTTGATGCAATCAGAACAGGCTAATAAATTTGATGGTTTTTGGCAAAAGTGGAATAAAGGCATTAGTAATTCTTTTGGAAAATGCTTTCCTTAAAAAATCTTCATCACCTGGTTTTTCTTACGATTTTTTTTCTTATATCCAGATTTCCCTTTCTTTAACCTATGGAGGAGAAATTCTGTAGGTAGATGAAAATTCTCCAAAAATGTCATGCTATGCTAGGTTACGTTGGTTCTGCAAAGCTCTGAAGACCCAAGTTATATGTGTTATGTATGGATAATAACTAAAATGTAATAAAAAAACATCATCTCCAATTGGTATCTCCTGGCTACAGCTGTCACTTCATTGAGACAAACCAAAAATTTATCATGATTTTCAGCGCCATTTATTTATTCATTCAAAAATTATTCATTAAATCCTAGCATTGTGTGTTTCCTATAGATCATACTGGGCTGGGGATATAGCTCAGTGGCCCAAGCGCCTTCCTGGAAAGCATGAGGTTTTGAATTTGATTCCTGGTATGAAAAAAAAAGCAAAAAACAACATATCAATGACAATTTTATTCGTTTACTTTTAAATGATAGGATGGATTTTTTGAGTGTCATGTGTATTTATTAGTCTATATGGCAAAATAAAACTGCTTAAAATACTAGGGCCCCAAAATATTTTAAATTGATAAGTAATTAGGATTTATAAATAAATAGTACCATTTATAAATACAACTTGTACCTATAGGTATCCCTTTCATTGGTATTTGAGGAAATCATTTATTATTACAATGAATATTATTAAGATTGAGAACTATCCTACATTCTTTTAAGGGTTATTAGCATTATTTCCCAGGTACTGAAAATCACAACAAATTAGATATGTAGGAATTCTTGAATACTTTAAGACCATATGAATAATTGGTTGCTTTTGCAAGGTAGCTTAATGAAAATAAATGTGAAACATAATAACTTCCTGAATAGAAGTTATGCTTCACATCTTCCCACTGCACAAATCATTCTACCTTCACCAATGTGGTAAACAGGTACAAAATAGATAAAATAGTTATACACTGCTCAGTTCTGAAGTCAAATAGGTCAGAATGCAATTATGGTACATTTTTTCCTTTGTTAACACTATGCAAAGTTGGAATTATAGATTGTAATATTTAGTAAAAATCTTTCATACTTTAAAATGTGAGTTGTGCATCTTCATTTCCCAAATAAATTGAGAAGCTGATCAGTGTAGAAAGAACAGTAGAATCAACTTACAGACAGCTACACAAATGTGAACAAGGATGTTTATAAATGATAATGAAGAATAAATTATTTTTCAGCGCACATAATTGGGTATATACAGGATAATTTAAAACCAAATGGAAGGATTGGTAATGTGAGCTCTTAAAAACCTCCATCTCCATCAAAATATACACATTACCCATGAGAGGGTGATAAAAATAAACTGTGACACAAAATCAGAGTATTGTTTCTCTTCTCAACCTCAATATTTGGATGATATCTCATCAAAATATTTTGCTAAATGTTCAAATGATGGAAAAAGTTAATTCCAAAACCACTTCTCTAAATTACCAACAGACTTATATTCTTGATGCCTTTTTACATGATCACAAGCCAAGCATGCATGTGATTCCCAAAATCGTGGAAGATTTACAGTAAAATCCTTCCTCCAGTTAAAGTAGCTAAGATATAACTTATTGTTTTTGTCGACTTCCTTTAAGTACTTTGCTAGCTCACTGGGAGAGTTATAATCTTCCACATGTATGAATGAATCTGCTGGAATATAATTCTCATAGTTTTCCCTGGATGGTCCCAGAACAACAGGTACAGATCCAGCCAAGAAAGCATTATAGAGCTTTTCTGTTATGTAATCTTTGTGGATTGAGTTTTCAAAAGAGAGATAGAATTTACAAGTAGATATGGTAGGAATCAAGTTCTTATCATTCACATATTCTCCAAACGCTTGACCATAGGTGTGGATTTCAATACTTTTGCTCAGCTCATTGTAATACTTGACCCTGGCGTGCTCAGGGTTCCAGTTACTCACAACCCAACACACCAACTTCTCTTTGCTGGGCACCTCAAATACGAATGGGTTTGTGCTTACTGTCAAGAAGCCATAAGGCACTTGGATATCCGAGTCTCGGCGGTAGGTTAGAGTCAGGTTGAACAGATGCTCAATGCCACTCTTTTGGGGGGTGTGAGTCGGTGATTCCAGATTCATCCAAATCCATTTCTGGAAGGGAGGCCTAGCTTGCTGAGGTAAATTAGTCAGATCCCAACTGATGTCTCGGTGGTGTATCAAGACTGCATGTGATTTGTTGTACAGTGTCCGGTCTGTTGTGAGGTGACATCCTTGGATGTTGAACATGGCTTGGCAGGATGTGAGGTCAAAGGTTTGCCCAAATGGCCACACCCACACCAAAATAGTAGTTTCATTAAAGTAATCGGTTTTGGAGGAGAAGAAATTTTTCATTTTCAGCACTGAGCTGGCAGATTCCATTGGACTGAGGATCCAGCTGCTGGTGGGCTTGATGTAAATAAGCAGACACGCCATGAAGCAGCCTAGAATAACGCAGACAATTAAAAATGGCCGGAGGATTCCTTTGGATGTTGATGTCATAATTTTTTCTGTGGAACAGAAAAAGACAGGGGAAGGTAAGTGTGAGAGAAAGAGAAATACAAATTTAACTGAAACATATGGTACATTCGAGAACACAATCACAAAATAAGCTGCTTCTTCGGCTTTATCAGTTAAATTCTTTAACAGAGTTTCTCGTTTAAGAGCTATTGTTAAAAAAGCAGTGTCTTTTTTTTTGTTTAAGGAAAAACAGTTCCTATGTAAGCCAAGAAACTGTTTTTAAATGGAAGCTCCCCAGAAACTCTTCCTTAGAAATAATAAACCAGAATTCAATTTAAATAAAGCAACATATCTTCAAGCCAAAGTTACATGTTTCTTCTTTATTTGCTTGTTGAAAAATGGCACAATGTAAAGCGTTATCACTCGGGCCACGGCGGAAACTTTTAGTGTTTTGGTACACTGTCATATTTGCAAACATTTCTTGGTTAATATAGTCACTTATATACTAGCATATTGCGACTGTCACATATATTTTTCTTTTTTTTTCTTCTTTTTTTAGAGACAAGGTCTTGCTATGCAGTTCAGGCTGGCTTGAGCTCACTTTGTAGCCCAGACTGGTCTCGAACTCGCAAAAGTCCTTCTCCCTCAGCCTTTCAAGTGCTGGGCTTATAGGCATGAGCCACCACACCCTGCAAGACCGTAATATATTTGTAGATCAGATGGAGCTCAATAGAAAACCAAACTTTTAAAAGGAAAAAGTTATGGTTATTTTACAAATGCATCAAAATAAACTAGAAAATTAAATTATTTTGCGCTTGTCCTTTTTTCTTACAATTTTCTCTTTTAATAATCTACCAGGATATAATAATCAAATATGCTTTATTGATATTAGAACAACATTCTCATTTGTAGTGGTATTGGGACATTAAAAAAGATTTTATTTGCAATGAAATTATATTAATATTTTAAGAAGTGAATAAATACATTCTCAAGACTGTACATATGGAGAACAATTTGTATGTTACAAATTTTAGCAAATGTGACCAAAGAGATCAGTGCAGCCTTCTGTCTTTTAAAGTGTCATCTAGGTTTTCCTTCATTGGCATTCAATGAATCTTTATTAATAAAAACACAATGATATAATATATAATATATTTATAAAATTTTTCTCAATTTTTACTGAGTCACTGAAACTCATTTTGTTCTTCTTACCAAAATAAAGTAGTCTGTTAATTTAAGTAATTAAAGTATTTTGAAATCTTGATTAAAACTAGGATAGAATATTAGCTCCCTAATGTTCAGAAAAGGAAAGAAATTGCCCTTCATTTAGTTATCTAAACTTATGTACACATTTTAAAAATAATTTTTTGCTTTGTAATTATTCTTAATACATATAATACTTTCTGAGTAGTAAATCTTGACCTGAGTCTAAGTTTCTGGACCTTGCATTTTATTTTTCTTTTTTATTTTATTTTAAAAATAAAAGGAGGAAAACATTACCAGACAGACAACCTTTTACAAAATAGCAAAAGAACAGTACAGATGATACAGAGTTACAAACAAAGTAGCAGGAAATTAACAATGCTTCTTGTATTACATATTGATATCTTCAAAGTGGTTTTTCATGAAAACAGATAGAGATATGCAATATTGATCAATCAAGGACTCACTGACAGTTTCTTTCAGCAAAGAAATAGAAGACAGTAGAACAACTTTGTTAACTATCCTGTATATACATACATACAAAATTTCTACTTCTTTCCCTTCTCTTTTCCCCCACCCCAGTTGCCCTTCCACCTTGAGTACTTTCCTATCATTTCACAATGTCTATCCTACCTCCTAGTTTAAATTAACTCTTTCAGGTTTTACACTAGTGAGACAACGCAGTGCTTGCACATGCATGTCTGATTTATTTCACTTATGAGTGTTGGACCTTGCATTTTAGAATAGCCCTAGAACATAATTATTGGAATCAATGACAATATATCTTACTGTCAAAGTTAATTTCAGTTCTGAAATTTATAATAGAAGAAAACAACATTATGCACACATATATATGTTAACATATGTATATATAAAAGTTAAAGGTAATGTGTGTATGTATTTATATCTACATACAAATGTATACATGCTAGCTCTTAGAAGGATACACACACACACACTTAGCACTTAGAATACAGAGAAAAATCAGGAAAAATATTATGAAGGATACCTCATTTATTGGAAGTGGCATTGAAGGTACTGTACATCAAACATTATGCTATGTGGTTAAAACTGTATTTAGGTGGAAACTTATAAATTTATACAGTTTGGGGAAAGTAATGAATTGGGCTACTGGAAAGCTAGACAAAGAACAACGGTGCTGCACTATGGAAGTAAAAAGAGATTAATTGAGGTGAGGGAAGAAATCACTGACATTCACAGCAGAAATTTGAAAGGAGTAATAATGTCACAAGTTTTGAAGCTGTCAATACAAACTTTAAGTAAGAAAGAAAAGAGTGATTCAAATTAAATATCAAAAAGGGCAAATCATTATTGATGTAACACTGATTAAAATTAGAAATGACTTTTGAATAATTTTATGCTCATTGATTTAAAAGATTTGAGGAAATATTGGTTGTTTTTGGTGCCATATCGTCTGTACTGTTCTTTTGCTATTTTGTAAAAGGTTGTCTGTCTGGTAAATGTTTTCCTCCTTTTATTTTTAAAATAAAATAAAAAAGAAAAATAAAATGCAAGGTCCAGAAACTTAGACTCAGGTCAAGATTTACTACTCAGAAAGTATTATATGTATTAAGAATAATTACAAAGCAAAAAATTATTTTTAAAATGTGTACATAAGTTTAGATAACTAAATGAAGGGCAATTTCTTTCCTTTTCTGAACATTAGGGAGCTAATATTCTATTTTTGGCACCAAATATTGGCACAAGAAAACACAACAATTGCAGTTACAGAAACTGAATTTATAAGTGACAACTAAAAATAGCTACTATGTCTAGATACTTCTGCAGAAATGCTATTCAGTAATGCAGTGAATAGAGAATGTTACCCCACTTTTTAAATAATAAGAAACATCATTTTAAAAAATAGAAAAATAAGAAAAGAAGTTTAACTCATTTTATGAAGCAAATTACAATCTTGTTTCCAAAACAAGATACGGGGTTTTTAGAGAGGCAATTTCAGTTTAAACAAAAAGACACAAAAATAGAAAAAACAGAGCCATAAACAGTATTGAAAATGTACCAAAATGTGATCAAGGATAGATTTAGGATGGTTAGTTATAATTTTTTCTACCATATTAACAGCTAGTTGAAAAATCTCTCAGTTCTTCTTTAAGAAAAATTGTAGACGTAAAATTTACTGGTGGCATATGCCTGTAATCCCAGCACTTAGGAGGCTGAGGCAGGAGGATGGCTGTGAGGCCAGTATGGGCTACAAAGTGGGTTCAAGGCCAGACTCAACTGCACAGTAAAATCCTATCTCCAAAAGACAAAATAATTTTTTGGAATGGTTTCCTTTTTATTGGTACAATATTTATATTTCACATGAGTTGAGGGGATTTTTTCCAAGTAGTTGTTTATAAAGTAGGAACAAATGTAACTACAGTTTCTACCTATTCTTTTCTTTCTATAAGACTGAAATTTAATGGCTTACAGAAATATTCTAATTAAAATGTCTTTAAATCCTTTTGGAAAACTAGCTAAATAATAACATGGTTTAAAATTATGAATTTGGTAATTAGAATGACTGATCTGAAAACAATATGCAGTATAAGAACCATTTTGTATGGTGAAGCTCTGCATCATTTCCAATGTTTATTTTTAATTTTTTAAAAATTTATTACTGTCTTTGACTATTTAATCAATCTTACATTCTTATGTCTAATGGACTGACAACTTCACTGAAGATAACAGTATGTAGTGTGGCAACCTTTGCAAATTTCTAGCATTTTGTCTGGAGGTCATGTAACATTTTTGTTGTTTTTGTGTTGTTTTGATTTTGTCTTCATTGTTGCTTTGTTTTTTAATTTTTAAAATAAAAAAGATAAAATTATCATTCCATGAAGACTGAATATATGAAAAAACTGAAAATAACCTAGGTAAAACCTACTCTAAATTATTTTCAAATTTCATCCTTTAAATATTCCACCTAAATAAATGATGTTGATTCGGTGTAATCAGGTTACAACATTTCACAGCCACCTTTTAATAAATGGCCGCTCTTAGTCAGGCCTTGTGCCAAACGCTGCACACATCATTTCCTTAATCTTCCTTCAGCTGCTATGGAAATAAAAAACTGCTTGATCACTCCTTCTTTACAGATATAGATACTGGGGACAGAGGTGTAAGTAACATGGAAACCACTGAATTATACTTTCTCTTGTCTTCAACAATCTTCTTTGAATAAGTAATACAAAAATCAAAAATTCATTCACATTTGGTGCCTGCAGCTGTGTTTTTTTTATTTCGTTTTTTTTTTTTTTCGGTACCAGAAATCGAACTCATGACCTTGCGCTTGCCAAGCAGGCGCTGTGCCGCTGAGCTAAATCCCCAGCCCCGTATTTTTTTTGATCTCTATAGCATCAGTGCCATGCTCTAAAATGAAGGACTGTTTATCCGCGAGTTCAGTTTAGATCAATTTTTCTTAGCAAGAACAACGTTGGACAATTATGTGATGCTCATTATTGCCAACCAGTGATCTGAGCAGTACATTCACACACACCCCACACACATGCACACACACACGTTCACACAAAAAAGCTGTTCAATTAACTCATATTAGATTTCTATATTATTAATAAAGAAGCAAGTCCAAAATGTCTAAGCAACTGCCTTAAGTGATACAATAAGTAAGTGATAGAACATAGTTTAAAACTGTAGGTCTTTGGGTCCTGCATCTGGGTATTTTATGAATATGTTTTATGACCACTGCTTCTGCAGTCAGAGAATACAGTTATCTTGGTAACAGCAGAATTCAAGCTTCATGAGACAGTTTGTTTTCTGCACTTTACGATCCCTGCCATGAAAATACAGCAGGGGCTTAACAAAT